GGGGGCTGGGCCCCCCCGAACTGCCCTAGACACCAGAGTTATCCCCAGATATTGGGGTGCCCCCAGACATAGGGGTCTGGGCTCTTCTAAATCCAGTATTCCCCCCAGACTTAGGGGTCTGAGCCCTCTAGACATGGGGTTCCCCCACACACGGGCGTCTTCCTCCCGCCCCGCCAAACTGGGATCACCCAGATGGGGGGGTTGGCACCCTAGAACTGCCCTGGACAATGGGGCATCTCCCCACATGTGGGGCTCCAGGTCCTCCAACCTGCTCCAAACATTGGGGTGTGTCCCCCCCGGGGGTGGTGTTGGGGGCTCTGGGGACCCCCTGAGCAGTTTGGACATGCCCTGACCCCCTTAAAATCCCTCCCCAGCCTCACCACAGTGGTCACCCCTGGTTCAGTGAGGGGTCCTAGGATGGCACAGGAGAGTTTTGGGGGATCCTAGGGGCATGTGGGGGATCCCAGGGGGTTTGGCAGACCCCAGGACAGTTTGGAGGTGTCCTTACTACCCATCCCCCACCCCCATTTCCACCCCTACCAGGAGGAGCTGCCACCCCACCATGTTGGGCACATCCGGGGGACATGGCGGACCCCAGGGTGGTACAGGGGAGTTCAGGGGACCTCCAGGCAGTTTGGGGTTGCCCTGACTTCCCCTCCCCTCCCCCCAAACTTCCTCGCCCCCAGCTGATGGAGGAGTTACTGTCCCACCACTGCATCCACCCCTGTGCAATGGGGGAACGTGGAGTGTGTGGGGAGTTGAGGGACCCCAGGAGGTCTGGGGGTGCCCTGACCCTGCCCCATTTCACACCCTCCCCTCAAGGTGATGGAGGAGATGGCAGATGCGCTGCTGTACTGTCACGAGCAGAAGGTGATCCACCGGGACATCAAACCTGAGAACCTGCTGATGGGACTGAAAGGAGAGCTGAAGATTGCTGACTTTGGATGTTCTGTGCATGCCCCCTCCCTCCAGTATGGCTATGGGGGCCTCTATGGGGCTGTAAGGGGGGCTGTTATGGGACTGGGAGGGCTCTGTGGGGACAGGGGTGCCCTATAGGGGATACTCTATGGGGCTAGAGGGGGGAGCTTTGAAGGGCTGTGGGTGTCCTGTAGGGGGTGCTCCATGGGGCTGGCGGGACCCTATAGGATAGGGGTGGTCTAAGGGTTTGGGGGGGCTTTATGAGGCTGGGATGCCCT